CAGCACCATCGATGAACAAGGAGGATCTGATGCAGATGCGAAGGCAAGAATTGGAAAAGCAAGGACACAATTCCTACTATCGGAAAACATATGGAACTCAAAACAACTGCTAGCCAACATCAAAGTCATAATCTACAATACAAACGTCAAGACAGTTCTACTGTACGGAGATGAAACTTGGCGAACTACCACATTCATCATTAAAAACGTATGCGTACCCATAAACAGTTGTCTACGCAAGATACCATATGTCCATTGGCCGGATACCATCAGCGACAATCCACTAAGGCAGAGAATAAACCAGCTAAAAGCTGTAGAGGGAATTACGAAAAGCTGTTGGAAGTGGATAGAACATAGATTGCGGAAATCATTAAATTGCATAACGAAGTAAGCACCAACTTGGAATCCTGAAGGGAACCAAAAAAATGAAGGTCAAAGAACACACTGCGTCAAGATTCGGAAGCAAACATGAAAATGATGAATAGCAACTGAACACGATTGCCCAGGACAGAGTTTGATGGAGAATGTTGGTGAGAGGCCTACGCTCCACTACAAGAGTTAACAGGAGTAAGTAAGCAATGTTATTCAGACCATTTCTCCCTGTTTAATAGACTGCATTAATTAATAGAAACAGATAAAGTTTATCAAGCTAAATAGTTTATTTGTTCTGACTTTGGCAAAGCTAAGACTCTGTGCTCGACAGTCTGGGGAATAGTTAAAATTTCACCTGCAGGAAGTTACCTTCTACAACCGTATTTTTGATTACTTCATGAAACTAATTTATGGGTCATTCTACTCGAAACTTGATTAAATTATAATTGCAGTTAATAATTTTCATTGGACATCTATCGATGGATATAATTTGATATGACCTTTATTCTTATTCTCATAGCTAATCGACGTTGTAAATAAAAATAGCATATATGTAATATCCGAATGAGTAGAAAAATTATATTTTCTGACGTTTCATGACTCAGTGTATGCCACTTCTTCAGAGAGTAAATAACCAAATCAAATTTTGACTTGGTTACAAATATATTATTTTTATTTATAACAATCTACTGTATGTTCAATTTATTTGAAATTATCAAGTCAAACCTTGGTAATGATAGCTATATAATCGACGTTATATTGATTGTTAAGATGTAAATAGCTTTTTATTAATTGTACTTAATATTATCTAGGAATATAGTAGAAACTTGCAAAAAGAAACCATACACAGTTTCAAGTGTTAGAGTAATGTACACCTTCTGTAAAACCTTTGGCTACTATTGAACTATAAACTGTAACTTAGAAATTATGTTATCGCAATGGGAAACAATCTAGATTATGGACAATATAACATTGTCGTTTAGTTACTGCATTAATGCATAAACCTGATAGTGAGTCTAAAAAGAACAGTATTATTTTGTTACAATTTTCAAGAATGCAAATATCCCAATGCAGACTGATCAAAATTAGTCTTAAATATGAAGAACGAGAAAATACAAATCCTTACTGCTATCGAAAATAGGATATCAAACCCATTAGACAACTCAGTGGCTATCTAGGATCAGTAACATAGTGGATAATGCATCGGAATTCGGAGCAATAGGTACAGCGTTCGAGTTTCAGTGTAAACATTAACATTGTAATGCATCTGAAAAGTTCTAAATGAGACGAGCTTTCCGAATATTACTGCCAGGCACAACCCAATATATGAACATTACATGTTTTAAACAATAGTTCCATTCATTGAATGAGAAATTTGGAAAATATGTTTTCTTGATTGAAGTTAACAAAATCCTAGGTTTAAAAAATTCTTAAACCCAGATTACTTGGAAATGGGAAATCTTTTTTAACATGACTATATAACACACAAGATCCGATAAACCAAAGATTATGGAAAGCGCAACGACTTAGATTTTATGACAATCTTGAGACTAGCTTATTATTCGCTAATCTGTCACTAAGTCATAAATAATGTAACAAGTGTATGCTTTTCAATCCCTTCAGAGTAATACCAATTACGTAAGAAATATGGTCATAAATCTTAAGGTATTTAAATATGACTCACTGAAGTTCACGCTGTTCATTTTAAAGTAATTTTATGAAACTAATTACATTTTTGACCGTAATCACAATGGGCTAGATAGCGAAGTAAGATTGTCTGATATTCTTTTTCTCAACTTGTTATCGGTAAACCCCTTAATGATTGTTATATGCATTACGTACGCTCTTTTGAAAATGTAATTGGACAGCGATAAAACTATCCAATCAGTTCATTGACCGAAAAGTTTCTCCGAATTTAAAACACGTGTACCACACAGTCTGGTGTGTTAGTACAAGGAGTCTTATGCAAGTCGTTTACACAATAACTTGGGACTTCCTGTCTGAATATGATGTTTGTGCACTTAGTAACATCATACCACGCTAACCACCTTCTGCGACTGTTAGGTGACCCAGAGGGGCAAAGCCGATCCCTAGCCAACAAAACTGCAGGATATACATGCAATTTATTACATAAAAACATACAAAGTTTAAAAGTTTGGGTAAAGGTTTGAAATCAGGATCAAATTTAAAAATTAAAGTTACCGTTGTAATCCACTAAGAGAGGTAATGGATGGGAATCGATTGAACGGAAACTTTGTAGCCTAATACGGATGAATACTTAAGCAGTTCTTTGGTATCAAGAACATTTAAGCCCCCTTTACAAGTCCACAAATCATAGTCCCTATCTCTTAGGCTTGCCATATTCATCATTTCTCAAAATTTTTGTAACTAAATATTAGTAGTATATACTTAGCTTTTAAGAAAGTACAATTTATTCGTTGTTAAATTTTAAATTTTGCACAAAAGTTTAAGAAACGCTGTCTCGAATCTGATTGATTTGCCAGTATGTGGCGTATGATACCTATGTTTATAGACATGTTATATCCCCTGGTGAATTATGAATCGTAAATCTGAGGTCTATTATCGACCAATGTATTATGCCTATTTCTTATTGTACAGTTGTTACGTAACTAAATTATTCATATTAGTTTTCTCTTATCATGAGCTTTATTTTGATCTTTGATTTATGATCATACGATTCTTGAGTTATAATCAGTTTATTGATTACTTTGGTTTGTATAAAAACCCAGTGTGTTTGTAAATAATGATTCATATTGCCGAGGCTGTTATTTGTGTTTTGGACTCAACTGGCTGGGCTAGGCAGTTAGGAAGGACCGAATAGCAATCAAGACTGCTCTCAGGGCATACGTTATAACAGTGGCGACGGGGATTTTGGTACGCAAAAGAAAAAAGTATACAGTTTTCGACGGGGATTCTGGAAAAAAAATACAGCAATCAAGACTGCTCGTACGATTTCAATCATCATCAGCGTCCGATCAATAAATTCACTCCTCTTTAATTGCACGTTCATATATATTACGGGCCCATACGAGCTATAACAACTGACGACAGGGTAAAAAAATGGCTTTAACTTCCGATCAATTTCAGTTGCTAATTCAGAGACAAGAGCAGCGTTTTAAAAAGAGTCAGTTGGATTTCATTGACAAGTTACACGCGACGCTGCTGAATCACCCATGCTTTGGGGGTGCAACGGAAGTTGACGCATTGATTTCTAAATTGCGTATAGAACTGGAAGTCGATTACAGAACAAATGAATATGCAGAGGAAAGCCTCTATGAATCCGCGAAAAACAGTAATTTAGATGCAGCAGTAACAGTCCTACATGATCAGCCCAGTAGTCCGGTGCTGCCTGTTTCAGAGACATGCCCTATACACGGTCCAAGCCCTATTAACCCCGAAAACGGACGTGCAAACAGTGGATCAACCTGTTTACAGAAAGACAATGTTTTGCTAAATGCTCATGGAATTACTGTAGTACCCGCCCACGAAGAAACGGGGAACAAATCGGGCAGTATATTGAATACAGTGACGCCAAATCAAACCAGTCATGATGCAAAAAAGTTTTTTTATGAATCTAATGATCAAGATTATCTAATTGTTCTGCCAGATCCCGATTATTTTGCTGATTCATATGTTCCAGTTCAAATCTCTTATAAAAATGGGAGAAAAATATCGGATGCATTAAATGATAATCAAGAATCCAATACAAATTTCATAGATACTGATTATCCTAATGATTCATTATTTACTAATGAGGTTCCGAGTAAATTCAAGGAAACTGTTTCAGAAGAATCAGACGCTGGTGACCTCAAATCGAATGTAGTCGATCCTCACGATCTAATAAGTTCTCGTGGATTCTCAGCTAAATACGACGAATATGTTTTAAATAATGTCACAATAATGGTAACTTGGGTTCATGAGGATCCAACAGTCTTTCGTGGGGGGGGGATGAATTCGAGAAATTAAAAATCCGGATGTCAACTCCGGATTTCTCAAAAAGGGGAGGTGTTATATCCCCTGGTGAATTATGAATCGTAAATCTGAGGTCTATTATCGACCAATGTATTATGCCTATTTCTTATTGTACAGTTGTTACGTAACTAAATTATTCATATTAGTTTTCTCTTATCATGAGCTTTATTTTGATCTTTGATTTATGATCATACGATTCTTGAGTTATAATCAGTTTATTGATTACTTTGGTTTGTATAAAAACCCAGTGTGTTTGTAAATAATGATTCATATTGCCGAGGCTGTTATTTGTGTTTTGGACTCAACTGGCTGGGCTAGGCAGTTAGGAAGGACCGAATAGCAATCAAAACTGCTCGTACGTATTTTCTGTATCATTGCACGTTTCATATACAATAACGATTGTTATACGAGACATAACAGACATAAGTAGTATGTAACACAAGTCAGAAGTGGAAATTCTGGCACCAGAAGGCTAAAAAGATCGAGTTGAAGAGAATAGACGGGAATGAAGTATTCAGTGTATAGTTCTCATATTTTATCAAGACACTCTGTGATTTTGTATTAAAACACATTGGTTGTCCCCAACTGAATGTTCGTCTATTACAAGTATGGTATACTCTTACAGTGTAGTTATTATAATTAAGAAGTCAATATATATTTTTCCAATTCAGCGATATAGAATTACATAAGAGATAAAGAGGGAAACTTTACAGTATACAAAAATAATTGCCCTCCAATACAACATAAATTTATCACAATCCAATATAAAAGTAGAAAGTGAATCTGTACATATCGGTTTTCAACGGAACAACAATAAGGAAAAACATACCTAATTATTTATACCTAATTATCATTTGGATTATATTCAAGTTGATAATGATATTTCATAAAAGCATAGAACAGTCGATTGTGAACCAACCATAAAGCATAATTGTTTCATAGCATTATCTTCACTATGACTATCGGTTAGTTTGCCTAGAAAATCGGCATATTGTAATTTAAAACTACTATTAATTGATTGAGAGTTTTTCATAGTAATATTTGATGGCAAACAAGACATAGTCCAATTTGATTGATGATTTGAATGAAAAACTGTTGGAGAATTTTGATTATTATTATCATTGGTATTACTGTCACCGAGTAGTAGAAATTCATCAGATGAATTAGTTTGAATTAGAATCATGTTGAAAAAGTTTTTACCTTTTAAAATCTCATTATCATAATCGTCATTATTATGATTATTCATGTTAAATTTAGAATTCCATAGTCGTGTTTTCTCAGTTAGTTCTTTTTCATCTTTTTCAGATAAAGTGAATGCTTCTTTGTCTTCCTTGGAGTTTTCTTCTTCAACGATATTATTACTATGTAACATAGATGGATGTATTGGCCATGCCTTAATATTTGATCGCATTGTAGTTGTACAATAGACGCCAACTGCAGTGGAACTACAAGATAGATCATTATGTGATATTAACCAACCACATGAACTAGCCACTGATTCTGAATTGAACATCTATAAATGAATGGATGGAAAAAAGCGACAAATGAAATGAATTAGTATCACAAAGTAGAATATGAAACAATCAAGAAGTAATTAGTCACAATTTGAACAGGGTGTGGGTGGTACAGGTTCATATTTAATAGGAAGCATTGAGTTAATCAAGACTGTGGATATATCTCGCTGAAGCAGGCGACAACTAGCACGAAAACTAGATACAGGAATATTTATCAGTTACTTGCAAATAGGATAAGTGTATCTACTGAATGATCGCAGAGTGCTAACCAATGTTCAGTTTATCTAGTCATTAGTACTGATCGAATTCTTCCGATCAAACAGTGAATTGTGATATCGAGCTATTTAGACAAGCTGTTGGGATGATCCTGCAAATTTCTCGCAATAGGCATGACAAGCTCAGAAAACATTAAGAAGCATTTTATCCAATCAGCGTTTGATTAGAAGTTTTGCTAGAAATATTGCGAAAATGCTAAGTCACATGTAGAGCTTCTGATTGGTTGATTACTAAACTGCTACGATGTTTGGTAGTATTATAGAATTTTCAGTAAAACCCAAGGACTTCTAAAATACTATAAAGACCCTATGTTTTCTGTACATGAATGAACCTTTGGAGTAAAGTGCTTCCCGCATATTTTGCGCCTTTTCTCTCGTGTTCAAGTCGCTATGTAGTTCTAGCTTGGAGGTAAAAGACTAGCTTAGGATCCGAATATAGCGTTCAATCAACGAGACTTATCACTAGCTGTCACAAAATAGTGACTTGGTTGATAAAATTTGATCACGACTAAGGACTACGAGAACATCACATTTGTCAGTATTCAGTGGTCTACTAGTGTAGAGATAATTGCAGCTAGAGTTATTTAAAAAACTTGACCGTAATTCATTGGAAATCAAATAGTTTCTGGACCTTTTCTTATTCAAATTAACGTAAGATAGGTCGTAGTTACTGAAGTATTTTTCCAGTGAGGATTTTTGAGATCAGTGGACAATGATGAGACTGACATCAAATACCATCCTATGGTGAATAAATAGGTATTGGTTAGATTATGCTAATGGTTAGAAAGGGTTATTTGGTACTACTAGTGACTGAATTAAAGCAATATTTGATTAATCACTATTTGTAGTAAATTAAGAGATAGAGGAGAGAATGGGTAGACGATAAGTCAATAGATTATTTTGGCTTATGATCCCGACTTACTTTTTTTATTTTAAGAATCACATCATTAACTAGCATTATGAAATAATCTACGTAAAATTTTCCAAAACATATTCAGTAATATTCAACAATGAAATATGAATGGCTTCTCATAAATTTTCTTACTCAACACCAACAAACATTTTAGGTTGTAGGACGTAAGAAGAACCTAAGTAGAAATTCGTTCTTGACGTGATAATTGGCACTCATTAACAAGATACATATGCAACTACAATGAAAATCTTGTCTTTTTATGAACCCCAGCCCAAGTTAGCATTACTTAAAGGTGTCTTTAATGAGATAATCGGCTCCCAACTCTTACGTAGGAACGACTCAAGTATAACCTGATTGGTTACTGGGATCTAACGCCATACTGTATAGTTAGTCTTCAGTACTAACTCAATTATATCGAGCAAAGTTTTAGACTGTCAGATATTGGTAATTTTCAGTGGATGGTTAGGTCTGAAAATTCCATTACAAACTAAGTTCAAAGTGAACTTGATTATATTTAACGATTAGAAACAAATTTATCATGGAATAAAAAAATAATGCAGGTTCTTTAGGTTCATAGATTTGTGAATAAAACCATCAATTAATTTACATCCATGAAGCTTAGTGATATTACATCTACTGGGTTGCCTTTCTTAAAATTTATATATATATGATGGTTTTGAGTCCCACTCCAAAAACATTACTACCTACTTGGATTCACACTTATGAGCTGCTCTGTGGTGTTTGAATAAACCAATGATTTCCTTGTACTGATGGCTGTTTTAATTTTGAATTCCAAATACAATACATTCGTTCGTGCCCATCTAATACTTTTTGATTAAATTGCGTTATTTATGAGAGTACTAGTTTATACTATGGTTTAAATACTCTTAAACATCAAATTGGCGTCGCGATGGAGCCTGTGATGGAACAGTTGGATATATATACAGATTTTAATGCTTCTGAGGATTACATGGAGAGGTTCGGAATCTGGGCTATGACCAAGGAAGATGTTGAGGATTTCAATATTGTGGCCCATTTCCTTGCATTCATCGGAAAAGAAGCATACAGCTTAATAAAAAGACTTTGGCATTTAAAGACAAACCAACTTCACTCCCATATGCAATTCTCAAGCAACTATTACTGGACCATGTAAAGTATACAAATTCCGAATGCGGTAAGGGAAAAAAATTCGATGAAATGACTGGCCAGAGCATCAGGAATTCCACTACTTTACTACGTCGTCGCAGTTCAATACGTAATCAAGGTTATTCAGATAACAAATTATTAAATTGTGAAACAGTTCACGAAGACGAGCACAAGTTTGGTAAATACTTGTTCTGTGGCATGTTTCACCCATGTAATTCATGTGTATTTCGTAATTCTAAATGCTTTAAGTGTGATAAAACTGGACACATTCAGCCAGTTTGTAATACCATGGTTCATTTTGCTGAAACTAATGCTAAAATTTGTGATTCTACCAAGTTGGATGTCTCTAATGATCACTTATCTGTATACAAGACTTCGAGACGCGGTATAACGTCACATAACAGTCCAGAGTTGAATGAAACCCAGAATCATTGTGAGACAAAAGTTTCTAATAAACCAACTTATCAGATTCCTCGTGTTATTGTACAAGATGTGGTTTGTCATAATTATTCACATCTTTTTGATGAAATTTTTTACAACTCCGAGAATAATATATTGAATGAGTCAAATCATGATCAAAAACCAGATTCAGTTTTGGTAGATGCTAATTTTTCTAATGATCCATTATTCTCTAATGAAACTCTTAATAAATTTGAGGGAAATATTTTCAGGAAAATCAAATTCGGATATCATATCAAGTGTCAGTGGTACTCACAATGAATTTATGTCTAGTGATATCCTCAATGAGTGTGACAAATATGTTCCGGATCAGTCGAATTCTAGTCACATTTCTGATGCTATTGTATCAGATGTTGGATATTCTCCAAACTAATGTGTGTCGAGTAGAATCTCTGATCAGTGGTATAGTGAATCAGAGGGAATAGAAAGTTTTCCTGAAGCAACCAGAGAACCAGTTTGCCCAGGTAGAAAATCCAAATCAAGTCCAAGATTATTCTAATGAGTATGAGGCAGATGCATGTTTTCCATCCGATTGTTTCGCAGATGAATCAAGCCAAGATGAATCACATGTGTTAATTACACATATCAGTCCATATCAATCTGTGTATTCTAATATAAATAACAACAAGAATATGAATCGTAATTTTTAACAAATCAAATCACACGATGGAATGCATCGAATTACGTGTTAGTGTGTATCCCCCAAATACTTACATATAATAATCTAAGTTTGAGAAATAAGATAATACAAAGTTGGAACGTCGAACTGGTTATGACCTTGCGACAAAAGGACCATACGTTATTTCGTGGGGGAGGATAGTGTTGGAAAGTCTATGATGTAAATTCTAGATATCAGTGGTTTTGTAGTGAACAAGAACACGAGTGGGGACAATCGAATGTATTTAAGCACAAATTACAGACTATCTCACTAAATTCTGATAATCATACAGCAAACAGTAAATTTGCAAAATAACAACCAATTGTCTTAATCTTCACTGTTCCTTCTGTAAATATCAGTTCATCTTCTCTAATTCCACTGTTCATGCATTTTCCTACCAATTGCGCTTCATTTTAGTTCTTTCCATATCGGCCTTCTGTCAAAATACATTCTATGTCTGACCATCGCCATATACTACTTATATGGATATAAGTATACCACACTACAGTTTCACTACACAACCGATATGATGATTGTATGCAATTCCAGGAATTAGGTGAGTCCGTTCCAATTTAGGCTGTTAATTCTAATACTCATGAGTATATTCTAGATTTTACAGGGTCTACATCCATTACATAATTGGGCAGACACGTGATGAACCTAAAGAGAAGAGGTACAATTGATCGCAGAAATTTGGATTCTCATTCAAGCTGTGGCGGATATGGTGTTCATATGAACCAATGATTTCTTGTATTGATGACTGTTTTGATTTTGAATCCCAAATACAATACATTCGTTCGTGCTCATCTAAAACTTCTCGATTAAATTGCGTTGTTTCTGGGATTACTAGTTTATAGTATAATTTAAATACTCTTAAATATCACATGCTCCTGATAAAATAACAAGTATTTTATGTCTTCCTTCACTGTCAGCCTCAATATAATATTAAAAATTAGTTTCAATTTAAACTCACATATAAAAGAGAATTGTCTTGCGAAATTGCCTCTGCATTCATATCATACAAGCATATTACGCCATCTTCAGAACAATCCATTAAACGTAAATAACCGGGAACAGAAGTAGGATCGAATTTTACATCAACGATATCATCTGAATGTAAATCTTTAATAGTGCTCAATGGAGATGATAGATTTCGTGTGTCCCAATAAACTAACTGAGCTGTTTCTGCATCGCATTCACTAGTATTTTTAGAGTTAAGTTTTCGACGTTTCTTTTTCAATCTGTAAACTTCTGTACCACAACAAATTAGACTGCCATCTGCACTGATAGAACAACAAGTGAAAGGTACATTCAGAAATTGTTTATAAGACTGGATAGCGGGCTGTTTTGTTGTTAAAGAAAAAATTTAGGACAGTTTCCCATTATTATATAGATGAAAAGAAAAAAAACTATATTATTAGCAGTATGAATAGCTAATATGTACGAATCAGTGATAAAATTGTATCTGAAAAATTAGGAATCAAACTCTTGAGGTCCATATGATTGGAGATAATTTAAACATATTCATATTAAAGTTAACTCCAATCTTAAATAGTAAGTGGTAAAACGATTTGGAAGTTGTTGTTATAAGGATCGCACCAATATAATTTCAACTTTTGATGTCTATTAGCAAGAAGACATTAGCCATTTAAAGTATGAGGGCGATTACCACTTCCCGGCTGCCCACACCGTGAAAGGGTTCTTCTAGAGGTACCTGAAGAGAATATTGGGTTAGAGTTTGTCTTACTGACCTGAGAGCGTGACCGTAGTGCCAAGAGACAAGTGCTTGAAGTCGGCCATACACGACCTTTTTGTGGGTAATTTTCGTGTTAGTTCTTTACTTGTTGAGACCTTACCGTCAGAAGCGGAAATCTATGGGATAAGGCGAGATGTGCATTTTAAGGGTAGACCTTTCCTAATTCCACCCTTCCATTGTGAGAAGGCAGCATCGCCGTTATGCTGGTTGTCTGAGGGAAACACCATACTACCGTCACACCTCTATACGGTCAGCAGTACGACTTCACCCTCAGACCTTGTGTTTGGTGCTTTTAGTCTTACCACTCTTCGACTGACCTGCCTGGCATGGTAAAACCTTGAGTAACGATTGTTCCAGCCAGTATAGCCCGACTGGTTCATCATTATAGGCAAGCTCGACCACCACGTCAAGGTAGCAGCAACGGTTGGGAATCTGTAAGCACCATTTGTACTTATTTAGTTTCGATAAACAAAGCCTATGGAACTCAAAACAACTGCTAGCCAACATCAAAGTCATAATCTGCAATACAAACGTCAAGACAGTTCTTCTGTATGGAGATGAAACTTGGAGAACTACAACATTCATTATTAAAAACGTATGTGTACTCATTAACAGTTGTCTACGAAAGATGCCATATGTCCGTAGGCCGGATACCGTCATCGATAACCCACTATAGCAAAGAACAAACCAGATGCCAGCTGAAGAGGAAATTACGAAAGGCACCGGAAGCGGATAAGACATAGACTGTGGAAATCATCAAACTGCATCACGAAGCAAGCTCTAACTTGGAGTCATCAAGGCAAAAAGAAGAGAGGCAGGCCAATCAACGCATTGCGCGAAAACTGTAGGCAAACATCAAAAGAACAAATAGCGTTTGGCTGCAACTGGAAAGAAGAACCCAGGAAAGGGTTGGCTGAATGTCCCTGGCTGGCATCTTACGCTCCACGGGGAGTAACAGATACAAGTAAGAAAGCAAGTAAGGTTATGATATGTAACTGGGTATGCGTATTGTTCCGAATTTGTGTTTTTAGTAAGTGACGCATTGTAATTACCTTTCGCAAACCCATTATAATAATACTTCATAATAAAGTACAGGTTTATGTATTAGCCAGAAGTAGCGGCTGGAGATGTACTATTATTAGAACTAAAGTCTTGAATTGATGACTCAGTAACTGATTCAGGGACTTGACTTTGTAACCCATTTGACCCTTTTGAAAAATAAACAATTCAGATGTTAAATTCCGAAGACACATTTACAATTGAACAAAAAAAACACCACGTACCTGTGGAGTGTTATCCCTCATATCCCAAATCTGGACACCTTTATCAGAACAACATAGTAGCGAACTTATTCCAGGTGAATAGTCGATATCCACAAAATTTGTTTCAATAGGTATCTTTTTATTGTGATTATTTGTTTGCATTGATGGTAAATGAAGTGAATGCAATTGAAATCCTCTGATTTCATATATCATATCATGATTATTATGAGTAACAAGAATATTGTCGCTGTACTTTTGAGGTAAATAACTCACAATATTTAACATTTTGAGCTGAGGATATGGTAACTTTTTCTGAGAAACAAAAATTTACAGATTAGAAGTTAACAACGACATTTGACGTTAGTGGTAAACTGTTCAGAATAAATATCTGTATTTATTTTAATTCAATAAAGAGCTGGGAAACTATGTAACGAAAACAAGTATTCATAAAAACATAACCGGGTTTTTCCAAATCAGCACGAAAATTGAGGTAAATGTTTGTCATGAATACAGTTAAAACAATCATTCAGGTACATAAATATGAAACAGTCATACATTATTTCGACTGGATAAACTCCAGTTTGTGTCATGGATTATGTTGTAACGAATGATGCACAGCCTGAGGATTATTAAAATCAATTAAATAGAATGTTGATCGATGGGTGATGCACATTGATACGTTATATGATAAACGTTCATAAGAAAGGACAATTAGTCCAAATTTCCGACTGGACTATGATTAAGAAGAATAGGTTTCTCTTTAGTACAATAATATATTTAAATAGAAACGGTAAGATACAAAATAACCATTGTCATACATCGTAGCGACTGTAGGATATGAATTTTGTAGGTCACTCTCTGGTTAATGAGATTACGAAAAGCCTGTCAGGTTTAGTTTTTACTTATCAAGACCAGAATGTTTAGAAGAACCAAAGCAAAGGTCCGGACTCAATAATGATAAAGAAAATGTCATACAAAGTTTAATAAAATGTGTAAGAATATGAGCTCTATAGAAGTACATTTAGTATTATCGATGACTGACCGGACTCCAAAATGTGCGGTAAACTTGACCAATTTAGAGTGAATTTTGGGTAAATGAAAACTAGAAACTTTGTTTACATTTTGTGGAAAATGGGACGAAAATGTCAGAATTTACATCGGTCTGGAGATTTTATCTAAAACATACACAACTGGGAGATTAGGTGAACATACATATCGTTGTTGACTAAAATGTAGCCATTAATGAAGAGTAATGAACAAATAGACTTGATGAGGAAGAAATGTCGCATATTGCAAAGATAGAGGTTCCTTGTTAAAAAAACTGATCACTGTGGTTGCTCCCCATAAATTTTAAAATATCTACTTCTTACATAATAAAATGCTTGATTATATTATGGTGTACGAGAAAACATTGGATCTTATTCACGTAAATAAATAAACATACGCAGATCGGACAACAGATAGGGCTGGCAATGTCTTTGGAAGGTCTTAATGTTGACGTTTGTTGTCTATCCGAGACACGTATTCAGGACTCTAGTGAAGTACTACAAATTCGCTCTCCATCTGTCGATTCGAAAAGTTTGTTCCACGTGCGTTTATCCGGGAACTCTGTGGCATCTTCGTCTGGTTTTGTTGGCGTTAGTGTCGCAATAAGCGCTAGAGCTGAGGCAGCACTAATCGATTGGATCTTCATTAACAGTCGGTTATGTGCTGTTAGATTAGAAAGCTCCATCAAAGTGAGAAGATATCGGCGTGAGAAACGATGTCTTTTCGTCATCTCAGCCTATGCCCTGACAGAATGCAGCCCGGATTCAATCAAGTATGAATTCTATCACCAGTTAACTGTTCTGCTCCAGAAAGCGCGCTCGACAGATAATGTAGGACTAACCGGAGACCTGAATGCACAGGTTGGGCGTCTAGGCACAAAAAAAGAGTCGTCTAGGTGGCAGATAAGGACTTGTTGGTTGCAGGACAGATAACGGTGGCCGTCTACTCAGTCAGTCAGTTACAACGTAGGACCAGGCACATATATGCATCGGTCCAAGTTGCCATACCTCGTTTATTTATTAATTATTCATTTAAACACATATATATTGGTACAAAAGGGCACCAGGTACATATGCGCCACACAAAATAATGAAAGTAGGTAGATAAAGGATGAAAAGATAAGGCGGGCTGAAATGTACAACCAGAAGATTCTTTCAGTTAGGAAAGTTAGAACCATTCTTTATGTAGAAAGTAAAAGAAGGTTGCAGCAGGATCGCCACTGGCTTCTATTCTGAGCCATATCCGATAACGTCTCTAGCCACTGTGTTGCACTATCTCTCGGACCCCAACCAGGGAGTCGTGAAGGACCAACGGAAGCTAGCCCTTTGCAGCTTTCTTTCATGCCACGACACCATGTCATACACTGACCTCCTCTCCGCTTTCTCCAACCAGTCCCAGGGTCGGCAAATAATGCACGACGCGGAAGTCTCTGGGACGACATTCGTAAAACATGTCCGAGCCACCGAAGTCGGTGTTTCAAGATGGTGACACCAATTGAATTATCGTCTCTGCGCCCGAACACACGATGCCGAACCTCTGCATTACTAACATGGTGTTGCCACTGGATGTCAGCAATCCTTCGGAGACAACGATGATCGAACACAGAGAGACGTCTAACATCCTCAACTCGGAGAGGCCAGGTTTCACAAGCATAGAGCAAAACTGCTCTCACCGACGCATTGTAGATCCGACCTTTTACAGCCAGACTAACATCACGAAGGCGCCAAAGATGGCCCAGATTGGCATAAGCCGCTCTGGCTTTCATTATACGTGCATCAATCTCATCACTCACGCCACCACCAGCACTTATATAGCTACCTAGATACACGAACTTCTCAACTACTTCGATCTCCTCACCATCCAGGGTGAGTACAGGATTAGAATCCTGCCAGTCTTGTAGAAGTACTTTGCACTTGGAGGGTGCAAAGCACATGCCGTACCTGCGGACACTGATTGCCAACTGATTAAGTGCTGATTGCATGCCTTGGGCATTATCGCACAGTAAGACAATATCATCCGCATACTCAAGGTCGAGAAGTCGTTCTCCAGGCAACATATCCACACCGCCATTACTTACATCCATCAGAGCTGTTTCCAAGATGTCGTCGATGGCAAAGTTGAAGAGGAATGGTGAGATCGGGCAACCCTGCCTAACCCCACTGCTCGAATGGAACAAGGGAGAAAGGTGGTTGTATGCCCTCACTCTGCCTGAGGTGTTCGTATACAGGGCCTTTAAGATGTTAATGAACTTCTCAGGCACACCCTTCTTCAATAGACAATCCCAGAGAACAGTCCTGTCCAACGAATCGAAGGCCGCCCTGATATCAAGAAACACTACGATTGTTGGCCTGCGATAAGTATGACGGTGTTCTAACATTTGGCGGAGGGTGAAGATGTGATCAATGCATCCTCGACCAGAACGAAAACCAGCCTGCTCCTCGCGAGTCAATCGTTCTCGGGTTTTAAACAACCTACGAAGAATGATAGAAGCCAATAGTTTGGACGCGATCGAAAGTAGACTTATCCCCCGGTAGTTATTGCAGGAACAACGTGAACCCTTTTTAAAGATAGGGACGACTATTGACTCATTCCAAGATGTTGGAACACTTTCTTGCTCCCAAACCTTTCCAAACAACGCAGTCAGTTCCTTAGCCAGAAAGTCACCACCATCTTTAAAAAGAGCCGGAGGTAAGTCATCTGGGCCTGGTGATTTATAACGTTTCAAGAGTTGGAGTTCCTTGCGGACTTCCGCCTCGTTTGGTGGATCAGTCGTCACCGGCCATGAGGAGCAGGACAAGCTGGTTGATGTTGCCGGAGCAGCAGGCCAGTTGAACTGCCCTTCGAAAAATTCCGCCCATCGTCCAAGACGTCGACAGATGTTAGTGATTGGCATCCCGTCATCCTCGTAGATTGTTTCACTCACACCAGACTTCTTGCTGCCAGTGGCTCGGATGAGTTGGAAGAGCTTCCGGCAGTTACCAGATGCAGCTGCTGCTTCCATCTCATTAGCACGCTCCGACCACCAGGCTTCCCGGTCCTTACGCAAGCTTTGCCCGATTTCATTACGTAACAGCCTTCGTTTGTGGTCAAACTCACGGTCACCCGGAGTAGACCGACGGGCTTCCATCAGTTGTAAGGATCCAGAAGAAACCCAGTGCTTGTAAGCGGGACGTTTCGCGAAGCCGCAAGCGGCTTTACTCGCCATTTTCATGGCGTCGTGAAGATGCAACCAATGCTCGTCTATACTTTTCGGTGGGGTGGTAGCTAGCCTAGAGGCTAGCTCAGCTCGATACTTACTTGCAACAGAAGTTGCAGCCAGTTTACTAATATCAATCCGTTGGTGGTGGTCAATCCTTCGGCCACTGAAAAGTAAGGTGAGATTGGCGCAGACCAGGGCATGATCAGACTCCAGATAGGTACTCCAAAAGGAGCGGCAGTCTTGTACACAACCACGCCAGCGGTAGCTGATCGCGATGTGATCAATCTGAGTCCAGGCTTGGGATGCAGAGGGAGGACGCCAGGTGGCACACCGGCAATGACTGTGACGGAAGTTAGTGCTGGCCAGAAACAGGTTGTGGTCTGTGCACAGTTGCAGCAAACGGTCCCCGTTATCTGTCCGGCGACCAACAAGTCCCCATCGGCCACCTAGACGACTCTCTTCTGTGCCTAGACGCCCGACCTGTGCATTCAAGTCTCCGGCTAGTACTACAATATCTGTCGAACGCGCTTTCTGGAGAAGAACTGTTAACTGATGGTAAAACTCATCCTTGATTGCATCCACGCTGCAATCTGTCGGGGCATAGGCGGAGATGACGAAAAGACACCGTTTCTCACGCCGATTTCTTCTCACTTTGATGGAACTTTCTAATCTAACAGCACATAACCGACTGTTAATGAAGATCCAATCGATTAGTGCTGCCTCAGCCCTAGCGCTTAGTGCGACACCAACGCCAGCAAGACCAGACGAAGATGCCACAGGGTCCCCGGATAAGCGCACGTGGAACAAGCTTTTCGAGGCGACAGATGGAGAGCGGATTTGTAGTACTTCACTAGAGTCTTGAATACGGGTCTCGGATAGACAACAAACGTCAACATTAAGACCTTCCAAAGACATAGCCAGCCCTATCTGTTGTCTGATCTGCATTAGTGTGCGAACGTTGAAGGAAGCCAGCTTGAACGGCGTACGTGGTTTCAGAAAGACTGCCTCAGTATTCATAATCGGTGGAAGCATTCACTTTCAACCAGACAGTGACTGGAGATCGTTTAGATAGGACAGATTTTCCACCAAGAGCGAGCTGCTGCATAAGTGGAAGAGTAAGGTTACACAAATTGGGGATAAAAGGGGGTGAATTAGCGATATGGTAAGTAATAATAATAATAATAATAATAATAATAATAATAATAATAATAATAATAATAAAGGTAATAATAATAATAATAATGTTAATTGTCTTGCTTTTAGTATGACCAGGGATATCGTCAATAGAGTTCATAATTTCATTCATTTGTTTGTGTGTGGGCTGTGATACTGCCCGGGTGCCCAAACCGAAGCAGGTGGTTTTCTTAGGGGACCACACCCCGAGCCTTTGACCTAAAGGTCTGGTCCACAAGGCAGTGGAGCATCGTGAGGAGATGCAGTCCCATGGTTGCCGTTGACCAACAGCAGGTTCTTCCGCCATTCGTTCCATCAGGATACTGGAGCCCATGTGCACCATTGGTTTAGAATCAGGGTTTTCCAACTCCCCTAGGTGGACCCTCCGTGTCCACCAATCCGGTTATAGCGCCGGACATTCGCTTTTCGTCCTCTCACTTTCGTAAACAACACCCCCGCCACGAGAAGGCAGTGAGTAGGACTTCCCTGACAGAGGCTAAATATTCGCTGGCCATGTGAGAGCATTTCGAGAGGGAAAGTAGACTCTCCCCACTCTCGGCCGTACCAGGGCATTTGGGGGGCAAAGCTGATTGATTGATACCTCGTTAGCACAACAAGATGAACACCGGATTCATAGAAATAGTTAATTTAGTGGTGGTAGTATATAAGGATATAGTATAGGAAGGAAAAAAAAGTTATGAAGCAATTTTAATCTCAAGGCTTAAGGGAGTGTATACACCTACGCCATTGTGATCG